ATATAAATATATATAAGTATATATTTGTAACTTATTATAAATATAAAAGTATTCATGTGTTATTAATATTAAAAATTATATTATTTATTATAATTTTGATTAATGGTTAAATTTTATTATATTTTTATTATTTTATTATCATTTTTTGTTAATTGTACAATAAAAAAATTAAATACTTAATTTTTAAGTGTTATATTATTAAATAGATTATAAAAGTTAAATAATTATATCTTATTATTTATTTCAAAAATAATATATTTTTTTTTATAGTTTTTATTGTCAAACTTAGTTGATAAATTATTTGTTACATTATAACTAATTGTAAAATTATTGTATTTTATTTTTTCATATCAAACGAGATGGGTCGTGTAAAGCCAAAATTTAAGAACTCGGGTTACCCGTTTACCCGAAGAAAACCCGCTAACCCGACGGGTAAAACCCAACCCGAACCCGAAGATCACTAACCGGGTAACGGGTCGGGTTTGGGTAGGGTAATTTATACACGGGTCGGGTCTGGGTTTGCCAAAACCCGTACCCGACCCGACCCATTTACATCCCTAATTGAGAGGCTCATTCAAGATGGCCTAACACCTCAACCACTGGGATAAGAAAAGGAAAGAGAAAATAAAATGAGAATTAAACACTCGCCACTGCTACAAAGCCTAGCAAGATGAAAAATCTCCAAACCAAAACAAGCAAACCAACTAAACATACAACATCACCTACTAAAAAAAACAAATAAAAAAGACAACAACAATAATCCTCCAAATCAGAAGTCAGCCTACAACATTGATAAACTTCTTCCAGTTTGAATGGGCTGCAATGATCAATCTGTGAGGAGGAATGAGAGATTTTTGAAATACCCATAAATTTCTTGACTTCCAGAGCCACCAAAGCATATAAGTGGATAATTGAATTCTTGCTTCAGCTATCTCTGAGGAGTCAAGAGAGCAGACTTGTTGCCACCACCCTTTAAATGATTCAGAGCTACAGGTCTTTGAGTACCATTGTACTGGTGCTAACTCCCATGAACTCTTGGCCCTTGAGCATGAGAAAAACAGATGCTCCACAGTTTCAGGACCTGCTCCACATACGGTATAGGTAGTGTCAATGTCAAGGCCTTTTTTCTTCAAATGAGTTGCCACAAGCAGGGTACCTGAAATGCACTTCCAAAGGTTGTGTTTGATTTTGTTCTTTATCTTCAGTTTCCAGCATCTGAATAAGAGAGCTTTATTTTGAGAAGTAGAGGTACTGCATTCAGGGATGTCCAGCTGTAAAAGCTTCGTATCAGCAAGATGAGCATAAGTGCTTGCAACAGTGAATAAGCCTTTCTCATGTAACCCCCAATACATTCTATCTTCTTTACCAGACTTCAAAGTGGTGATATTGAGAATAGCAGAACTGTCTTGATAAGAGAATACCTGTTTTATGAGCCATTCATTCCATTCCCTTCCATTGGCTAACATCAAGTCCTTGACCCAAATTACGTGATCCCTGGCAATCTCCATAAGTTGAGGAGCAGGTCTGGAGAGATTGGGAACCCAATTTAAATCTGTAATTCTAGTCTTAACACCATTTCTAATTTCAACTTTGAGCCACTGAGAAAAAATAGGCATCACCTCCATCCAAGACCCACTCTGACTTTTAACTGCATGAGCAAGAGAGTGATTTGGAAAGTATCTGTTCTTCAAAATTCTGCTAACAAGAAGCTGAGGATTGGTGGCTATCCTCCAGAGCTGCTTACAAATCAGTGCATGGTTAAATAGTTTGAGATCTAAAAATCCTTGACCTCTTTGCTGTTTTGGAAGAGTAATGAGAGTCCATCTTTTCCAATGGATACCTTTGGTCTCCTTATTACTAGATCTTCACCAAAACTCAGCACACAATTTAGAAATTTCAGAACAGAGAGTTAGTGGAATTTTAAAGCAAGACATAACTCTGGCTNTTTTTTTTTTTATGTAGAACGTATTCTCAGAATACGTTTTACATGTAATTAATTGTAAAACGTATTTTGGGAATACGTAAGTAATTGTAAAAAAAATTGGTTTTTCCATTCTTTAACAAAAAAATACCTGTTTTAAATATTCAAAACAACCAACTAAAACCAAAATTACAGTAACAAATCAACTGATCTACCGTAAATACCATCAATTCCAAATAAATAATCCAAACAAATTCAAATAAAATAAACCATCCAAACAAAACAAAATAAATAATCCAACCAAATCCAAATGAACCCTCCAAACAAATCCGAATAAACACTAATAAATCTAGTTCCCCCACTCATCACGAAGTTTAGACCTATCGGTGCGAGGATGTGATGACGGACACTCATCCACAACATGATCGAGATTACCACATCTTGAACACTGTCCCCCATCATTCCTGCGGCGCGCCCGACGATCCATTTGCATGCCATAGCGTCTCGTTTGCTTGCGACTGGGTCCAGGCTTCAAGATCATCCTCTCCTAATGTGGTATCAAATTCCATCCCACCGGCGCCCATGTATCCGCAGTACCAATTGGAGCAAAACCCCAATTAGTAAATTGAGCTACCCAGGTCTCCGTCCAAAAGTGCATATCGTACAACGACTTAGGATGACCCCCAATTTGACGAGCTACAGCTATTGCATGAGAGCACGGTTTCCTGTGTGTCTGCCACTTCAGACAACTACAATGTTTCCAGGGATAATTAACCTTATAGCTGTTAACACAAACAATGATTTATATATATAAACATTCAAATATTTGAATGGAAAAAAAAAAAAAAAAAAAACCATATACCTGTTTTGCCCTCTCCCACTAGCCCGTAGACCAGTTCTCACCTTGTACCTGGACATTTCGGCGTTCACACATTTCACAGTATGGGTTGCGGCTGTACGCTCCAATTCCAAATAGGCGGTATAGTGCTGAGTACAATGGGACTCATGCATCTCGTGGCCTTCTTTTGTTCTTGTTCGAACAAATCCAGAGTTTTGTCCAATGTGGCCTGTACCAAAGCTCTGCACGGCAGGAACCTAACGCCTTTCAAGACGTTGTTGTAGCTCTCCGACATATTGGTCGTCAATGTGCCCCGTCTATGTCTTCTTTTATCTCCATACAGGGTTCACTTATTCAAAGGAATATCGAAAAGGTACTTGTGTGCCTGGAGATTAAATTCCAACAGTCGTTGTTCTGTCGCTCGAAACTTTCACTCCGACAACTGCGAACCCAAATCCCAACACCAATCATGCACTTTCTTATTCCTAAAGTTAGTGACCACGTTGCTTCGAAGGTGTCGAAGGCAAATCCGGTGATATGCAGCGGGTTCTTGCCAACCAACGAATGAGTCAATGGCACTGAGTATGCCGTTATCCCTGTCGGAGAGAACACAGATCTCTCAGTCAAACACAACATATTGCCGCACATTTGTCAGGAAAAATGACCAGCTATCCTTGCTTTCTTCATCAACAATCGCATAGGCGATTGGCAATAGCCGCTTATTTGCTGTCTGTGCTATAGCCACAAGCAATTTTCCCTTATACGATCCGCGCAAATGTGTGCCATCGATGCTAATGACCGGCGGGCATAGTTGGAAGCTCTGAATGACGGGACCAAACGCTCAGAATACAAATTTGAATTGTCTGTCTTGATACTGATGCGCCATTTTCCCACCTTGCCATTCTAGTTCATGAGAGGAAGCTCAACATCATCCTTTGCTCGCACGAGGATGAAATCAATGGAATTGGGAAGCCTTTTTTTTTCATTAATTTAACAGATGAGAGCTTTTATGGGGAATTATTTCAAAAGTAACAATTTGTAATATTCTAATTTCTGATACGGAGGATCATCTACAAGATGCAACCGTAGAGCATACTCTCTTTATATTACAAATCAAAGTCAAAGGTAGAGACTCGTGCTGATAACGTGTTATAAAACTAAAGGGAGAAAAGAGAGATAATAGAGAAACTGTATTCTCGTAGGTGTATTTTTCATTATAACTGAAGTCCCTATTTATAGGGAAACTTCTGATGGTACAATCGTAATAATACAATTACATCAGGGACAAAATAATCATTCACATACATTAAAATAATAACACAAGGTGCATGCGCACCTTATATTACAACACAACATTACTAATTTAGATTAAACATCTTGGGGAGGCGCATATAAATATGTGTGTCATGTCATGACTTTGTGAAGCCCCCATTGCACTAAAAAAATAAAAGAGTAAGCCAATTGTCCACTGGCAATACAAATCACATTTGCATTGACAGCATCAAACACAAAGGTGAAGAAGGCTCATACAATGGGAACCTCCCAAAGCCAAACTAACTAGACACATCACTTCCCTACCGGGCGAAGAAACTACTCAAATGGCAAACACAAACACTACCCAAGGGAGACCCAAAAACAAAAGCACAACCTAANNNNAAAGAAACAAAGCACAACATGATTGCTTATATGCATTTTCTTAAATGTCAAGTTGTTCATCAACTTATAAATATGCAACGGTAATACATAAAGTAAAGAGGGAACTAACTAACATTCTCGTTTATGAAACAAAATCTGAGAATAGTATAACATGATTGCATACGTTACTATGTATGGTTGTAAAGATGACATTAATTAATGTGTACTTGTAATTTATACGTAGATTGAAAATGCGTGTCCGCCTCGTTTATCTCGTCTGGGAAGAACATCCATTTGAAATGAAGTAGAGCGTCCGTTGGGATGATTGACTATGACTTCATATTGACCATGATAAAGCCGAGTCTTGTAAATGCCATTTGAATCGGTACTTCCTGGCAAATCTGCAGCATGAGTCAAATTACTAATAAAATTATCCACGACGTCCCCTGTTGGTAAATTTCTGAAATTATTGTAGTCCGTTAAACACATTTGATAGCATCCAGATGGACTTATAGCTGCCCACAACATTATGCCTTTTACTTTGGGATGTGAATGAATCTCGCGCAGAATTTGTTCCAAGAAATATGCCTATAAATATAAGGTAAGAACACATTAAAGGATATATTATTATTAGTGCTAGTAGTAAAAATGATTAATTAATATCCATTAAGAATTAAATAGAAAGATATTTTAAAAAAAAAGTGAATAGTAATAATTTTAGTCTTGTATGTTTCACTACTTTAACTTTTTCGTCCTCTCGAATTGCGTTTTTTTATTTTCGTCCTATGTGTTTGTAAAAAGGTTACAAAAATATCCTTTTTATACATAAAGGACGAAATTGGAAACTTTTTTTGCACAACATAGAAGACCTTTTTGTTGCGAAAATGATCTTTTTGTAACCTTTTTGCAAACATACGAGAAGAAAATCAGAAACGCAATTCAAAGAGGACAAAAAAATTAAGGTAATAAAACATACAGAACTAAAATTGCAAAAAATACCTGATATGGGCCAGGTGCAACGTCCAACTCAGTCACCCACATCGGCAATCGCGCAACTGCGAGTACATCAAGTGCAGACCTTAGGTAGGGCAAATTTAGAGAAGTGAAATGACCCTCTAACCCAATACCCATTTTTCTAATACAACTCCGTAACTCCTTAATTTTCTGCAAATACTTCCACGGCGAAGCATAAGGGTCCCAACACTGTTCTATGGTGTTGTAATCGTTTAGAAAGGGTATCGCTGTACCGTCAATTTGGTGGGCTATCTTATAGAAATCACAAGACGCGCCACTACCCAAATTATTCTCGAAATACTGGCCATGCATATTTTCATTGACCACGTCCCACTGAATGACTTGGCCTTTGTATCTATTCATAACCGATTCTATTCTCCTGTTGGCAGCTCCCCATAAGGCATATGGCGGAAGTCCTTTGACCCAAGAAGGCTGATCATCCGGAACGTCCCAGAATACGTTGTGGCCGCGAATTTTAATGCGGTTGGATTTGGCGAATTGGACGAGCTTGTCAGAGATTGAGTAGTCTGGGTTGTTAGGAAAGTATTCGGTAGAGTACCATTTTAGCTCATTTTCGAATACGGTGTACTTGAATCTTGGTAAGAACCATTTTTGGTAAGCAAGGTTGTCGAGGATGTTTTTGTTCATGGCGCAACCGAAGGGAAATAGTCGGTGCTTTTGGGTTACTCTAACGGTTGCGTTACGCACCGGACGGCCCCATTGGTCCAAAACATTGAACTTCACACCTGATTTCCGTACCTATATATACATAAACATTAACATAATTAATGTATAATATGTGTATATATATTTAGAAGAATTTGTGTATATTTAAGTTAATATTTGGTGAAGGAATGTGGAAAAAAATGAGTTTTGCTAATTGAAATACTTATGTTAAATTAATTGCACTGGTCTTTTAATTAATTATCCAATTTTATTTATTTATTTTATTTTGTTTTCGGGGGTACCTTCTCGACGTTATATCGTTGATGGGATTTCCACTCTTGGAGAGTAAATGGTTGTAGAGAGATGCTATCTGCAAAAATATCAGCTTGGAGATTTTTGCTCTGGCCAATGGGAATGGAATCAAAGTGTAAGATACTAAGATCAAATAAATGCTTTTTTAATAATTGTTACAACCAATTGTGTTCGAAAAAATTCGTACGTATTCTACGAATTAAATTAAATTTTATACAATAAAATATCATATTGTATTTACATTACTTTTAAATTGTGATATTTTTAAATGAAGTTATTTGCAAAAATAGTGTGACGCTACGACGGTTGGTTTGCTGAGCAGAAGAAATACGTGTATTAAAACCTTTAGCATTAATTTGAACTTTTTTTTTTTTTACATATTAACATATATCTTGTCCAATTAAGTTTAAACGAAAACGCAAATAA